TTCTGTTTTTAATTATTTTAATTTGTTACAATATACCTACCAACCTATTTGGAATTTGATAGAAAGTAATTAATAAATGATCTTTGATCGACGATATTTCGATAAGCTTTAGACGGCTAAGTGAGTTAAATTTTATAAAAGGGTCTGCTTGAATATTATTTACTGAGCATATAGTTTTAAATATTTATAAAAATGATAAATTTTAATAATAATATGTAGTTATTATAATCTCGTTTAATTTATTTCTTTAAAGGAATTGAATAAAGATATTTTTTTCGAACTTATAGTTGCATTTAGGTATGAATATCTTTGACATATTAGATATAAAGTTTATTAGATAAGCTATTTCATAACTTTATAGTAGTTTATACATATTAAAAATCATAAGCTAAGAGTTAATTTATAGATTTTTAGAGTATATTTTATAATTTTATTCATATTTTGTGATATTAATACAATTTTTAGTGATGATTTATTATGATGCAGGTTAAAAATAATTTTTTGTAATAACCAAAAATACATTTTATACTTTGAATCTCGAACTTATTGTCTATAATTTCTTATTTGTTTTAAATTGATTATATAAATGTGATAGAGAATTATGTTAATATTTCATACAATTTAAAATTAATAATTTATTTGAAAATAAGATTTGTATAATAGTAATTTATTATTATTAATGCTTTGAGCATTAAACCTCAATTGTAAAATTGTAGGTCAAAATACATTAAACTCATATAGTTTATAATATTATTAGGTAGTCGTAATATTTATGTTTATGCCATTATTAAGACATTATTTTTTTGATTAAACAATATCTATGTAAGTGTTAAGTTGATAATATTTTAAGACTACTTATTATATTAAAAAAAAAAAAAAAAAAAAAAAATACGTATGCTAGAATATATGAGATATCACAATATGTATGTCCAAAATCTATTAAAATATGAAATTCATCGATAAAACCGACAATCTGAAAAATATGTATGTACGATATATTTTAGGAGTGCAATACATTTTTATAATCTCGTTGGATAAGATTAGAAGGATTAGAAGAAAAGGGACTGAAAAGTTATGTACCCATAATATTTTTTATTTTACTTCGTACAACGTTCAGGGTATATTTTATGGCCGTTTTAAAAATAATTGTATTGTTATTTTGCGATGAAAATGTGTAATGAGGCATTCTGACATCTATATATCATAAAATTATGTATGTATCATGAAGAAATCTATCAAGTATTACACGTATTATATGTATAAAAACAATAAATATTTGGTACTAATTCTTCATACGAAGGTTTAATTTATATAAAAAGAAAGAAGACATCTTTTATCCACTGATTATTTATTTATGAAATAGCTTCCAGCGGATTTTTGATTTATATTTACTGAGATATTATCCGAAAAATTGTGTTTTATTTGTAGATTAAACGTTCTGAGTTTAATCTGAAATTTAGTAGCAAAATATGTAATGTCAATTTGTAATGTCATTACCCATATGTTATATACATCATATGCCATATACACAAATAACTAGAAAGATTTGACTTAGACCGATTGTTTTCTAAGTGTTTGAATTTTAATTAATATTGGGTCAAAGTGTATCTAAGAATTGCCACGATTTTATCAATGTTCTTTCTATAAAATATTGAAACGTTTAATTTTGATTTTCGAGTCTATACTGTTTTAAGTCTTAGAGTTATTTATAACTAAGATTTTCTATAAATTATAGTATTACAGTACTATTATGTCCATAAAATAATTAAATTATGAAGTAGTTAATTATGACCATTAATATAATAGGTAAATACTATATAGGTTTAAATGAAAAATGGTCATATTTTACATATCGTTTATAATTTATGTACTAAAGATTTATAAAATTATATAATGGTTGTTAAAAATTACGCAGTATTTTAGTGAGCTTGACTTGAGCATAATGTAACATAATAATATTATAGTATACATATCTGCAAACTTAGTAAATAATAATATTTTTGAGGTTGCATATTAGTCTCGTTTCGTTAGATTTATACATTATGAACATAGAAAAAAGAGAATTAACGATTGTGAGATTATACTTTATACTCGTAATTCGTAAAATATTAATATTATAACCAAATATAGTTATATTGTTTCAGTGATTACTGATTAAGTTTTGCTTTAGTGTTTGCTATTTATTCATAATAGAAAATATGTTTATTTAAAACGAATACTTTCTCATGTAATCTTATTTATAAATTATTTTTTTTTATTATGTGATACATATTATACTAGCATAAATAATTCAAGCAATATAACAAAGATATCACTTGTAATAAAAGGAAAGTAGGTAACCGTTGTCTTGTTTAATTCGGCATTAAATAAGTCACCGTAATATTAAATTTAAATCCAATGATAAATCATTATATACAAAAAATAATTTTAAACGAAGATAATAAGTCAGCCTATACACAACTCAAAAATTTCATAAAACATTTATATTAGGATTAGTATATACTACTGATAAGAAGCAAAAAGAAAAAAAAATAGTATATTTTTATGCTTATTGATATAGTGTAACATTTTTAATCAACATTACCATAAAAAAAATACCAAAAAAAAAAAAAAATCAAAAATTTAAACTGTTTATAAATACGTTAAAAAGATAAAAAAATATTTTATTATTATGTGTAGAAAACTGTATTATATGGATTTGGTGAAAATTTCAAATATTTAAGATTATTTGCTTTTAAATTTAACAAAATAAGAAAAATAATTTTTACAAAAACTATATTACTGCGTACATACTAATACAAAACTACATTACTAATATACTAATTTATTTCTTTGATTCTATTATTTATCGTGGTTATTTTTATTGTTAGTGGTATAATATTAATAAGTAATAGCAAATAATTAGTTTAAATAATTTGGAAATGTCATTCTGAAGATTAAACTTAATAATATACGTAAGTTTGAAATCTTTATAAAAAATATTTTTGAATTATATAAAAAATAACTTAAACAGTTACCTTTTTACATCCAAATTTTAAATTAAAATGTTTATAGAAAAAATGTAAAAACCGAAAGTGTCAAATGTCTATAAATAGCGTATAAAATGTTAAAATATTTTAAAAACTTTATCATGTATAGAAAATTCTATATAAATATTTCATGAAAAAAAATTATCTAAAACTTTTTTTTTAGCTACACAAAAAAATTGGTTTTGAAAAAAAATTTTGTTTTATCCAATTATTTTGAATAATACATAGAATTTTGAATTTTCACTTATTTAAATCAACTAGAACCTAGAACCTATTATTTTTTTTTTTTATCAAAGACCACCCTTAGAGTTAAAAAATGAAGTATTTTTATTACTACTTTTTTGCGTATTTAAACAAAACAAAAAAAAAACACATTATTGTAAAATCAATACATTCATCGTTTCGTTCAGAATTTAAAATACTGAATAGGATATAAATTCTTAACTCTATTAATTTTTTAATTTAGTGTGAACTTCACAATTTTAAGCTACATATATTATACTTGTTATCTATAGAATTAAAAAATATTAGTTTAAGAGAAGTTTTTAATAAATTATGAATATACACCCATATAGTTATTAATAGGTATTAATTATTAATAATTTAATTAAAAAGCTAAAAATTTATGGTAAAATAAAAATGTAATAAAATACAAGAAGTAAGTATCTTATCAATTTATCTTTAATAATTGCTTGAGTTTTTTATAAGTATAAATATACAGTACTTATGATATCTATTGTAATTTCAGTTTATTATAATTTAATTAATTAAAAATTGATATTTTTTTTGCTGTAAATAAAAATATTTTTGTTAGGTATGTTTGATATAAATTAGTGTTTGAGATGAATTATTATTTGATTTTAGAACAAAATCTGAAATAGTACTCAAAATTATAAAGTGAGTTTTCAATAAATCAAATAAGCAAATTATTTCAATATAAAGCAAATTAAAATTAAGTATACGTCTAAGCTTATACTATCAGAATAATATTGTTTTTTAAATTTCAATTATAATAAAAGTGTTCATTTTAATTTATTTTTGACTTTTCTTTTAATTATGTTAATATTACAATAATACAATATGTATTAATTTTTATTATTATCTTATACTAGTTAATACTAATTAGCCGAGTACAGTTTAAAATTTAATAAATTGACTTGTTAGGTAAGTTCTATAATTTGATAATGAATTAAAAACTAACTAAAATATTTTAATTTCCAAAAACAGTATGATAATGCCTTAATGTTTAAAGTTTACACAAGACTTGACATTTCAATACAGCGTTATAAATTATTATCAAATATTATGTTATAAAATAACTATTGGTTGATTACAAATTTATTCATATCACCACAATATTAATTTTATCAATTATCAATTTACACAAATTTAGTTACAGTATTATCGATTACCTACCTACTTTAATCATACTTAATGTTATTAATGGTACAAGACCCTCAGAAATCGTTATGCAAATTTGGTTTATGATCACTTTAAGTTAGAAAAACGACAAACACTTTAATAAACTAATCTTCCCTCAGTTTTATTTTTCAAACAGGATGATTCATCATTGCTTTCAAATCAAAAATTATAATATAACATTATCCTGCGTCAATGGTGAACGAAGCGTTACTAATTCTCAATACCCACTGTTTGTATATGTGATCGTTTTTTAAAAAAATAAATGAATAATAATAAAATCTATACAAGCAACAAAAATAAATTAATTTTACATTCTGGTTAGTATAAGTATGAAGTAATATTATAATATAAAATTCCTAATATAATATATTTTACACCAAACAATCTAACTTACATAACGTAAAATTATTGTTGAATAATATAAAAATATATTTAAATAAATAAGTCAGTGGGCACATAACATTATATTATTTTATTATCTTTGTTTAATTATGATGTATTAAAAAATGTATAAATCTTAATTATATACAAACGATTACATTTTTATAGGACCACATCCACACACTTTACTGGGGAAAACAAGACGTCCAAGAACTGCATTCACTAGTCAGCAGCTTCTAGAATTGGAAAAACAATTCAGACAAAACAAATATTTATCCAGACCTAAAAGATTCGAGGTGGCTACAAATTTAATGCTCACTGAAACTCAAGTAAGAATAGTTAAATAATTATAACTATTATAAATAAAACTATACCTACATATTATTGAAAATACATCGATTTATAACAGTATATGTACATATAAAAATACATTATGATTTTAAATCAAATTTTTTTTTAGAAAAATTGTTTTAATTAAATTTAAAGAATTTTAAATACATTTTGTAATTTGTTTTTAATAATAGATTAGCGTTAGGCTATTCTAGTACACGATAATAGTTAGTGCTTTAAATATATAATATTATGGTATTTTTAAATGAAATTAATGTATGCTACAACGATAATGCGATACATTGATGTACATTGATTATTAATAATTTTCTATGTTATGTATATCTGGAATAGTACTAAAACTATCTAACATTGTATAGTTTTATAAAAATTTAATTAACATTTTAGATTATAAAGTTTTTTTTTAAATTTACATGTATGTTATAACTTCATACTAAAATTCTTTTTTAAAATCTAGTACTGAGGTAAACAAAATGAAACAAGTTACCAATATAGAAGTTATGAATGGAAAACTTTTTTATTTTAAATAAATATGTAAAAAACTAGTTAAATGTATGATATTATTTTATTATAAAACAATAATGTGGATACATAAAAAAATGCATCTCTGTTATTATATATAGATTATGCGTATACGTAAATTATATATATAGGTACTAAATGTCTTACAATATTTAAAAAAAATAGTGCTATTCCATGTTAAGTATACTTTATGTATATGTAAATATTTTTTTCTCAGTAAAAGTTCGCGATAAAAATGGGAAACGAGTATTTTAAGTTAACTTAATCAATAATTATAAAAGTAATAAACCAAAAAAAATAAGTATGTCGTAAAAAAAATACTACTTGAGTATTTACTATTTATTAAAAATAAAATACTTATAAATGATACATTAACATAAGAATTTGTCAAACAGAAAAAATATTATACTTCTCTTTTAATCTTATTTATGTTATTCAACAATTAATAATATTATGTATCATCTTTTCAAACTTATCTCGAAAGGTAAAGTATAAATTCGGGTTTAGGATCAATCCTTTTTTTTTTAAATGTTAATTTTTTTAACTCAACTAAACATAAATGTTTTTATATTTTTGTCTGTTAATAGTGAAATTTACACACTTAATTTTAGGTCTCATCATATATAAAAACAAAAACACCATAATATAGGTAGACATTAAAGTTTGATACTAAAATACAAAGACCGAATAAATTATTATTTACTATTTAATTTAAGTATAAATAGTTAATACATTAACATGGATACACAAATATTACATAATAGATCATTAAACAATGAATAATAATAATGATAAAAGAATATACGCCCAATGTGCGTTGTTGGGCCATATAATTAATCTACATATATGTATGCGCAAGGAAAGGCCTCTGGGATTTTAAATTCTGATTATATTTCTACTGATACAGTAAAAATATATTGATCAACGTTTTTGCACTAAGTATATTTTTAGTTTTTTCATTACTCTAATTAGTAATTAATTATGAACATTTTTAAAACTAATAATTTTATTTTTATTAGCATTTTTTAATTAAGTATTTTCAAAATTAGGTATTTACTTATATCACGATAATAATAATAATTTAAATCAAGTAAGTAAATATAGTTTTTAATTTCTTAAATTTCATTACATGGTTAGGTACATTTAAATGTTATTAACTATTGTCACCACATTTTAATTGAGTAGTAACATTCAATAATATTAATTTAAAATTATCAGAAATTGTCACATCGTTTTTTTTTTTTTTTTTTTTTTTTAACTAGCCTTTTAAGGATACTATAATAGACATGCAATTTAAAATTTTTATAAATAGTAAGTTGTTTAAAATTCGAAATTTTTTATTGTAAAAGTTATTTGGAAAAAATGTAAAAAAAAATAGTTGTCATTGCTTATCAAAATAAAACTATAATAGTACAGTTATTAATTTATTCCATTCTAAATTTAAAAAAAAGTTTACCTTATTAATCGTAATTTTTATTGACACAACAACCTGCAATGATCATATTAACGTTTTCACTTTACAAAATATATATTTTAGTTTGTATCTAATATTTGATTTTCATTAAATTATTAATAATTATTTTAAATTTTTTTATAATATCGCACTCCTAGAACAAGACTGCCACAACTCAAAATTTATAGTTTTGAGAAAAATCGATTTGAAGTTTGGAACTATATTTTAATGAGTTTTACTTATGCTTTTGAAATTTAATATTTAAATACTTACAATCATACTTTACAATATTAATTTTTCAAATATGAAATTCACTCTTAAACCAAAATTTTAGACTTGTGGCCATTTACAATTTTAAGTAAATGCAAGACTGCCACATTTTGATATGTGACTGTATTGCATACAGAAATTTTTTTAGATGCACTTATTAAATATGGCAGTATTGAATTTAAGCCATGAACATTTTTATGCCATAAATCGAGTTGTGGCACTGTTGAAATTTAAACAACTTATAAATAATTTTATATTATAATATTATTTATTAGTAATTTAAAATTTGATTAAGTGTTGTTTATTATAATAGTATGATAATGGTATAGGTATATAATAAATATCCTTAAACAAATTAACAGTTGTATTTAATCATATTTAAAAATTCATTATTAAAATAAAATTAAAAATGACTACCTGTCTAATAGTGAACTTATTTTGTGTATTAAAATAACAAAATATGAATCAAACATAACAAAATAAAACCATTACTTATTATAATTATCATGACCTTATGATGAGTATAATTATAAATTAAAATTAAAATAATTTATAATTTTATAAATTAATCACTTTCTTCGTTGTTATTAGTATTATTAATTTCAGACACTTTTAAGTTTTTATAAAAACTATGGTAAGTATCTGGAATAAGCTTTTCACACAATGAAATTAAGTCTTTAGCAATACGTAACTGAACGAAGCACACCGTG